GAAGCGCCGTGAGATATTCGGCGAGTCGCATGAAGGGTGCGCTGCAACCGGGGGGTGCCTTTCGGAAGCGTCCTTTACCGTGGATGAAGTAACATGACGTGAGATACCACAACCGATTTTCAAAGCTCGACTACTCCACGACAAAGAGGATGCCAGACGGTTTCGGAAAGATCTCGACGAGATGGTTGCAACGCCGCAATTTTCGGGGCCGCCACCTTTTCGACTGCCTAGAAATCGAGCTTCGAAAATCGGTCGGCGGGGTGTGGTATATTGTGCAATGTTACGTCGGCACCTACCGCAACTACCTGACCGCACGAAATTCTCAGCTGCCAAGTTACTAGACTAAGTTCGGGCGCTTACGCTATCGCTTGCAAAGGAAGGACAAAAGAGGATGAAAAAAAAAAACCCGCGGGACTGTTGGAATCAACCCCGCTTATTTGGAAGGAATGCCACCGCCGCGCACCCCTGTCATTGCCGGCAACACACGCCACAGCAGTCTTCGGAAAATAACACGATACTACTTCCCGTTGTACCAAGTATCGTGTCTGCTACCGTAGGTTGCATGACGTAAGATAGCACACCCCCTGGACCGATTTTCAAAGCTCAGTTGCTCGGTAGAAAGAGCAGCAACGGTGCCGAAAATGGCGGCGTTGGAACCTTCTCGTCGAGAGTTTCCGAACACCTGCTACTTGGTTTTGGCATCCTCTTCGTCGTCGAGAGATCGTGCTTTGAAAATCGGTCCACGGGGTGTGGTCCCAAATAGAAGTATAACCTAAGGTATCGCGATCAATGTGTCAACTCGGCAGGCGAATTCGGATGACAAAAACAACGGATGGCAAGAACGAGCACTGATGACATTCAGCCGAAAAAAAAAAAAAAACTTGACCATAAGAACAGGTGCTCACATTGGATTCGTACACCCAGCAAAACACACATGATAAAAAAAAAAAACAAGAAACGACCCTCAGCCAAGATTAGAGTGTCGTGCGAGCGGGCACGTAGTGTACAGCATGACAGGTGCTCACAGAGGATTCCTATACAAAAAAAAATGGATTTAAATGCTTGTCGATGTTGGGTTTCCCCACTTGGAGAAAACAAGAAGTCTCGGCCAAGACGAGAATGTGTCTTTCGAGCGGGCGCGTACAATAGTTTAAGAAACCCAAGAGCATTAAACTCGCCTGAGCAGCCCTGATGACTCGGCCGTGCAGCGTGTACCCGCTCTTGAGCACCTGCAACACCGGAGGAAAGGGCAAAGAAGAAATGCTCAGCAAAATGAAACGCGAAAGCCGTCCGAAGGGAAGAAGCAGCGTGTCCTTGCCCGACGAGACGGGAGTTGTTAACTGCCACTCTGTTCGGAAATATGAGGACCTAGTCTAGAGATGAGCCGAGATCAAACAAATAGCTGACTAGTCTAACGGTTTGATTTCGGCTTCCACAAGAGTTGCGCTGACTAGACTAATGGTGTCATGGCCCAATGGTCCCTTATGTGCTATTGCTCCTACAAAAATGTAGGAGGTGTTGACCACGCGTGCTCGCACCTTGTGGTAAATTACACACCCATACCCTCTCTGCGCCTACAATGGAGTTGATGACCGTGGGTACCACAGTATACGACCCCAGGACAGATCTTCAAAGCTCGATTTGCTCCGCGACGAAGAGGAAAACCGCTGCGTTTTTGCATCTGACAACAGGCTGCCTGGCCGTCGATTTCCAACCACCGCCGTACTTGTTTTGTCTCATTTTCTATAAAAAAACAAAACGTGCAAAAGAGTCGATGAAGCCACCGAACCGCGCCACCCCGAGAGTTCGGTGTCACTCTTTCTCTTTCCTGTCCCAGAGCTCTCAAATTTCCTGCGAATTTGCTTCTCACACGAGAGGCTGTCTCGCCGTGCACTTCTAACCCCCTCCCCCCCCTCTGGCCCGGCGAGAACCCGGCGTGCTCCTTCCCAGCTTTGTAGGGATGCGAGGTCAATGGTCCAACGACTACGGCATGCACTACTGTGAGTCCCCCCCTCCGGGTGGTGAATTACGTATACATTGATTCTCATATACCCATCAGAGGATTGCAGTATTGAACAGCGCCTCTTGCAAAACCCTCGCATCCCTTGCCGGGCCCGGGCCGGCAACATGGGGTACCATCCCGTTCCTCGCCTGGCGGACCCCCCCCTCTAATAGATTGCGGTATCGTTTTCCCGTATACCTGTCCCAGATTCAACTACACTCACCTACAACCAAGATGACGTAATTAATACTCGTACAACGTCCGGAAGGGTCAACAATGTCCCGTGCTCTTGCTTCTGACAAGCCTTTGTCCATCCACTTGTAACCCCCCCGCCCTATCAGAGAGTTCGATGTCGTTTTCCCTTACACCTGTCCCAAATTCAGCTGCACTTCCCTACAACCAACATCACGAAATACAAGGCCCAACATGGTCAACAATTTCCTGTGCCCCCTTGCTTGTGACAAGCCTTTGTCCATCCACTTGTAACCGCCCCCCCGCCCCCCCTAACAGTGGTGGAGCAGATCATGTCGTGCGGGGTCGAGAACCCTCACTCCGCGCGAGGGGGATGATCGCACCACGGTTTGTTAAAATGGCCAAGCACCCTCGAGGCAGTTACACAGTACTTACAGCTGTCTCTGGAAGTGAAAGCACCAGAAAGTATATGAAGTCATACGCAGCTGTCATCCGTAAATATGCAACGAAGTAAGCACAAGATGCCGAACACCCTTAGCAGGATGCAGCGCACCCTCATGCGACTCGCCGAATACCTCACGGCGCTNCCCCCCCCCCCCCCCCATAGACAGAGGGTTCGGTGTCGCCTTTCTCGTACCTGTCCCACGGTTCCGGGCTCTTGTGCAGGGTCAACGAACTCGAACATGGCGTCGTGGATATGAGGGTCGAACTTGTCCTTCACCTCTCCATACTTCTCTAGCCCCTGGCTTCGGAACACCTTCGTCAGCTGTTGTGCATACGATCGTTCATCACAAAACGGTTTGATTGGTCAGCACCGGTTGGTGTGCCTCAGTAGAGACGCTGGCACCACGATTTAGGATGATGGCACTCCCAAACACCTTCGACATCGGATACTATCGTAATTGCAACACGGTTTGTCAGGTTAATGTTCATGTGGAGGGATCACCATAATTCGCATGGAACGTTTCCTTCACCTCTCCGTACTTCTCTAGGCCTTGGCCGCGGATCGACATTGCAACACGGTTTACGTTGGTTTCGGAGGAGGCACTACCATAATTGAAAAATCACAGTTGAAGCAGTCAGACGGCCTAGTATTCCATCAAAAATACGGCATGATTTTGCTACACAGACATCGAAATCACCCCCCCCCGCTCCGGGAACCCATGTCTTTTTGCAACACGGGTATGACTATTGTGGTTGGAATATCAGAGTTGAAGCAGACAGACTGCCAAGTATTCCACATGAAGAACGCGGCATGATTTTTCTCCACGAACATCGAAATCACCACCGCCGATGGATGCCTCACGGGAACGGATTTCCCGCTCCCGGCAAAGACCGTTCAAACACAGCCGTTGCATTCCCTAAATTTCCAATTTTCCAAACTTCCAAATGCTGACTTCGCAGTTTTCCAAAATGTTGGGAGCAGTTCGTTCCGATTCGTTCGGGGCCAGAAGTTTCCATATTTTCGAACTTCCAAAACAAAAATCCTCGGTAGCAAAATCGAGGTTCTACGGTCTACGGGTTTGAAAGATTGGAAGCGAACATAGCTGCTGTTGAGAAGGCCCCTGAGAGGTGTATAGTTTACGTACAGCCATACTTACTCCTATAAACATACGTAGCTCCTGCACACTCAAGTAAAAAATATTGTGTGACTCCAACGTACTGAGTGAGGTATTATGCATGGTACAGCTCCTATATATGTTATGAAGTACAAAATAATATACATATGCTATACTACACACTAAATCCTACACATGTATAGCTCGCCTCTTTGCTGGTCATCTCCACCCCTTGGAGGAGCACGTCGTGCGAAGAGTCACCCTCGCCTGCCCCCTCGGCCTCCTTGGCAGAAGCGATCGCCCTCTCCAGGTTATCTGCCACGTCAAGCAGCTGCACGATACCCAAACGACACGATGCAAAGCCAGGTCATCGATGGTTTGTGATCGAGGATATGTTGTTGTTGTTGTTGTTGTTGTTGTTGTTGTTGTTGTCTTCACATTAAAAGTCGTTCCGTTCTCTCCGCCTAGCACCCTCTGTCCGTACTAGTCTAACACTGACGGGGTCGATTCCCGTGGTCACCACACCCTGGACAACATACAATTCAGTCAGTGCATATCGACACGTTCCTATCGTAATACGTCACGTACTGGTGGCCGTAATACGCATTGATATGTTTTCTGGGAATATGCATCGATTGGCAGTTCGTGAATCTACCTCTGGCTCAATATACGGTAGCAACCTTTTTCAAAACATTTTGCAACGAACAATCGGTATTGCTCCACATGTTGGAAAGTGCTGCACGGGTCAGTATGATGCAACACATCGACGGAAAAGCATTTGATTCTCACGATATGCATCGATGAGATGTTCAATGATGTGTTGCTCTTTGCGATGCATATCGATACAAACAACAAGCTGT